GGGGGGGGGGGGGGGGGGGGGGGGTACACTTAACAGGTTATGTAACGCGCACCTATCAGTTCTTTTGTAGTTATCATTGTAATGTTGCCAGAAGGTGAGTATTGCACGGTGTAATTGTATCGATAGTTGAATAGGATTCTTCAACTTTTAGATTGATCACTTGAGGTTGTGTTCCAGTTTTTTCCATTCCCGTTGGAGAATTGTTCACAGAGAGAAGAAAAGTATTTTTCATCACGCTGTGACGAAAAGTCCGATTTCCGCCACATTGTGATGAAAAATATTGTTCGTAACTCGTGAAAAAATGTTTTTTAGCTCGTGGGATTATATCACTCGCCAAAAAACATTTTTTTGCACTCGTTACGAAATATACTATCCTTTGACTCAATCGTCTGAGGGTTTTTGTCACTGCTGCTACGTTCACCTCGTGCCCAAAAGTGCCTTTTCGTTTACTCGCAACGGAATAGTATATTTCGTAACGAGTGCAAAAAAGTGTTTTTTGGCGAGTGGGAGGTTTATATCACGGGCCGAAGGCGAGTGATATAATCCCACGAGCTAAAAAACATTTTTTCACGAGTTACGAACAATATTTTTCATCACAATGTGGCGGAAATTGGACTTTTAGGAACGCGGAGCGTGCCGAAAAGTTCACTTTTCGTCACAGCGTGATGAAATAGGATATTTCAATATGAGTGAGTGATACGGAATTTTCAGGAGTGCCAATCACACGAGTTGAAAATTCCCATCTCACATGTATCGAACAATATTTTTTGACAGTAATGTTATGTTCAACGTACAAAAACTATAAACTCTCTTTTAATAGTTCGAAAAATATTATTTTCCTTTGTACCTTGATTGCTCAATGAGATAATTTATAGTATTTTGTATTGATTCTTTATTGTAAAGCTCTCTATAATCACCGAAAGGAATCTGGATATCATCATTATCGATTTTTTCGTGGCTTCTTCTGCTCGTTCGACAGGGCGATTTGACCAACTTAAGAAAAACGTATGTTCCCTATTCGGAAAATGCGGTAATGAAAATCGATTTTCCATAGGTTGCAACTAAAAGAACATGAAAAACATTCTAAAGGAAATATTAATACAAATAATACATTACGAATGATTCATATATCCATTTGTCATTTTACGATTCGCAAAATGCATATCCGCAACATGCGGTTGGAGTGGTCTTTGTGTACGTACAGAGTAAAATGCATGTAGAGTCTCTCGCTTTGCAGTGTCCAACTGTTGTATTGAAAAAAATTGTTTCGCAATTGCTTTAATATTTTACGGAATGAGAATGGAACAAGTGGAAAATTCTTTTTTTCATCATATTGCAGAGCTATTTTTGCTAATAAATTAGCAATGTGCTTTCGAATGGTCATTTTGCATATCATTTTCTTCTATTGTACCGCAGACTTTTGTTACTGTCGCTCCCGTTGTAGTCGCATTTCCCCTTTATCGCTTTTTCACTGGCGTTAAGACTTCCCCCACTCCCTAACACTCTCGACTCGAATGTACTTTGAGTTTACTTTCAATTGAAAACCCGAGTTGAAGACCCGAGTTTGTAGCAAAGATGTCAGACAAGATATGAATGTTTTTTTGGGCTCAAACGAAAGAGCGGGTCGAGAAATGGCGTGCTAGGACCTCTAAAGATGGTTTTGAACCAGGGGAGACTCCTAGACCCCAATGTTCTATACATACTCCTAGACGCCATTGTCTTCCTAGACAATGATGTCACTACTCTGCTTTTCAATTGAAAACAGATATCATCTTTAGAGACATTTGTCATGTTTAGAGGCTCTAGCACGTCATTTCTCGACCCGCTCTTTC